ACCTACTGGTCCATTGGAACTATTTCCTCAGGATTTCCATGACTTGGGTTCAGTGATGATGATGTACCAGAAGCCAGAGGCCTTGAACCAGACCAATGACTCTTTCAAAATGAGCAAGGAAGGCTGATGGACAAAAGGGTATACTGCGTGAACACTGTGCCTCCCGATGCCACACTAGGGTGAATGAAGAGGTTTTGGAGGAGGTAGAAAAGAGGGAGGAGCAAAGTGAGTTTTGCTTGGTTGGTTTTCTTTTGAAGGGGACATTGCAAGAGTGAAGGACAGATGTGGAAGGCCTGGGAAACAAATGGAATTGGGGTGAATGTTGTGAAATTCCCAAAGAATTAGTAAAGAAATCATGTTAAAAAATAAGAAGAAAAGAATAGAACGCAACAGCATAGAATAGTAAAAAGAAAAAAAAAGCAGTGGGAAAATTGGTTTGAAAAACTTGTCTATTTTATATCTATACTATATGTAGAAACACATTTTGTGTATGTGTGTGTGTGTGTTTGTAGGTGTGCTCACTCGTGAGGGTATGTGTGAAGGCCAAAGGGTGATGTCAAAAAATATTTTCTTGATTATTTCTCCACTTCACATTTTTTAATTGAAAGATTTTTTTGCATACATTATACTCTGATCATGGCTTAATCTTCCCCAGCTCCACTCAGATCCTCCCTACCTCCCCATCCACCCAACTCCATGTCCTGTCTCTCTTTTTAGAAAACAAACAAAGAGGGAAAAAAAACCTTTTGAGACAGAATCTCTTATGTTTCAGTAACGTAAGCTCACCATTTTGACTAGACTGGATGTCCAGTAGGATCTCAGACTCCATGGTCCTCTGCCATCAAGCGCTGGTGCTGCAGGCCTGTGTCAGTGTACCCAGCTTTTACATGAATTCTGAGACTTTGAGCTCAGGTCCTCGTACCTTAAGAAATTCTTTTACCCACTGAACAATCTCTCCAGCCTCCACAAAATGGATTTCTTATTTGAGTCAGTGAAAAGTATTTGAAAGACACTGGCTTTAACCGCTTGGGCCCTTTTAGGTCATACTCAGTGTGTTGACATAAGCAGCATACAGGAGGTTTGGAATTTGGACACGATTGGCACGGACCACTGTGTGGGAATGGTTTTCCCTCTAACTACAGAGAATGTATGAGCCTTCCTTCCATCGGCCTCAGTGATTCATTCAGAGTGAATTTGACCCTCCAGACTGGGCTTAGAAGGTGAGGTTCTATTTAGGGAACTGAACTTCCCTGACTAGTCATCTGACCCTTGGAGTCCTTGCTTTTTAAATTGTTGAGAGCCAGTGACCTTCCTTTCTCTCATCTTAATTTTTTTTAAAGCCAAAGCTATTTCAGGTATCTGCTTAAAGGAAATTGCACCTTTCAAGATAGAGGTTTCTTTTTTCCTATGTGTGTGAAAACTTGAATATACATGCATGCACACACACATACATATGACACACAGAGTGTCACACATACACACAGGCATGTATATATACACACAAAGAGAGATTATATATATAATATATATATAATATATATATATATATTACTCCTGAATACACTCTTTGCTTAACTGAGATATCCATTCCAGATATTACATCTTTCCACTCTCATTTCAACACTACACTTCAAACCCAACCCCAGGAAGCTATTGTGAATTTACATCTGCACCGTACCCCACTTCTCAAGTATGTTGACATTTTGGAAATGCTGCGACTTAAGCACTACCTGAATGTGTTTATAAGTAGCTCTCCTAAGAGTAAATGCCCTTGAACTAAATTTTACATCATAGAGGAAACCACTTTGCTTCATTAGCACTTGTAAACGTTTTCAACCTAATTGTTGGTTTACACGAATGACAGGTTTACACGAATGTCTGTGGAAAGAAGAAATAATGTGAAGACATTTTTGCAGTGCAGGACTGACACTAGAAGAACTATGTAGTTAGTCATTCCTCTGATTTACTGAAAGAAAGTAAGAGCTTAAAAGAAAATCTATATCAATTTAATTACACAACAGTAATGGGTTCTCCACCTAGGCCTATCATATCCCAAGCCAGATTGTTTGCCACATCCAATCAGAGGACAATTGCATATCCCAATGACAGTCAAGTGCCATTGTAAAAGGTAAGTGCATCTTGCCTGGAAGGTTGGCTTTCTGGTTCAGGTGGTTCACAGTTGGGCAAGACCAGGGATGTCCTTTATTCCTTTGAACACTAGCCAGCATGAAGGATCTGGAGCCCTGAATGCCAACCATCCTGGAGGATGCTGACAGTTTGGCTTCAGCTTGTGTTTTCTCTATTTGCATCCGAGGTATACGGTGTTCTCTGCAAATATGATCTTATCCACTAGTTCAGCTGGACAACCAAGGAGAGCCACAAAATCTTACATTATTTGGAGCGGGGTGCTCCGAGACCTTCCTTACCAACTCTTGTGGAAGTGTTTCGTATCTGCAGCTGTGAACTATATCTAGTAACCTACTGCTTCTAGAAACAGCACCACCCAGTCATGCAGGGGACTGCCCTTCCATTCTTGTGTGTGTTTTATTTGGGTTGCAGGACAGCAGACCTCCAGCGTTCTTTCTACTCTCTTTGTCCTGGTTAATCCTCTCCATTTCTGTTTCCCATCTCCTCCATTCCTGTACCCTCAACTCCCCAATCTGTTCTCTCCTGCTTCCTTCTCTACTCAAACATTCCCTGCCTGCTATTTCCCTGCTTTCCTTTCCTTTTTATCTTATACTATTATAAATACTGTTATTTTAATAGTATTTTATACTATTTCTCTCCTTTAAGTTACCCTCCAGATGTCCCAGTCCTAGGTTTCTGGCTTCCATGAGTAAGTACTCCATGTTAAACAAGCAGAAATGAAAAATAAAAGCTGGGCTCTTCATATGAAAGAGAATACGTGATATTTGTCCTTCTAAGCCTTGGTTACTACTTTTAGCATAATTTTTCTATTTTCACCCATTCCTCTACACATTTCAGTTTCACTTTTTAGCTGAAAAAGAACCACATTATTTTCATCATCCATTCATTAACTGATGAACATCTAGATTGGTCCCCTTTCTTGGGTTTATTGCAAATAGAAAAGCAATCAACGTGGACGTGCAGGTATCTTTGTAGTATGACATAGTCCGATGCGAATGAGCCCTGATGAAAGGATGAGGGAATGAAATGCTCATTTTGTGTCCTTGCCCAGGGGCAGATTTGGAAAGGTTCAGTCTGGGTTTGGGGCTAGGGCCTTGAAAAAGTTAGGGTTTCCATTTCTGGGAATCTGACTTTTCCTCTCTGAAGAGACTGGTATGGTCAGTCTTAAGGCTGCTATGTACTTGGTCTGTGAAACACTTGAGATATCCTTTGTTCCTCTGTGCAAAATTGTTTGACCAGCTTCCTGCTGACTTCGTCCCATTTTACATTTTTGAACCATTTATAAAATGTTGTACTTCTTAATACATTCACTTGACATAAGTCATCTGGTTATGCAAGACGCTGCTGGACCCAGCCTTCTTTTTATCTTCTTCATTTTTCTTATTCCCAGCCTTCCCCGTTGACACCTCACCACTGTTTGCAACCCTTCCTTCTGGTTCAAGTCAATTGGATGATTTTATTTTAGTGTTTCTGAGAACTCTCCAGAAAGATTTCCAAAGTGGCTGCTCTAGTTTCCACAAACACTATATCTTGGTTCTGTTTCCGCACATCCATACCAGCATGTGTATTATTGGTGGTCTTGATGATGGTGGAATCTTCCAGTAGTTTTAATTTGTATTTCCCTGATGGCTAAGTATATCCAACACATCAAAGCACTCACTAGCCATTTGTTCTTTTTGTTTTTTTCTCCAACATTTTTACTTAGTTCTCTAAAAACAGTAGTCCATTTTTAAAAATTGGGTTGTTTCAGAGCCTACCAGAATTTTCAGTAAAGAGACCAGAGAGACTTTATCCAGCAACTGGTGGAAATGAGCCTTAGAGTTTCCATTGCTGTGAAGAGATATCATAGCCACTGCAATTCTTATAGAGGAAAACATTTAATCGAGCTAATTAGTTGAGTGGCTCGCTTACACCTCAGAGGCTCAGTCCATTATCCTCATGGTGGGACATGGTGGTGTGCTGGCAGAAATGGTGCTGGATCTGAGAGTCCTACATTTTGATTAGTAGGCAACAGAAAGTGGTCTGGGATACTGAGAGTGGCTTAAGCGTATAATAACCTCAAAGTCCACCTCCACAGTGACACACTTCCTCCAACAAGGCCACACCTACTCCAACAAGGCCACACCTCTTAATAGTGCCATGCTCTATAAGCTTATAGGGACCAATTATATTCAAGCTACTACAGAGTAGATGCAACATCCCAGAGCCAAACATTAGACAAAGCTTGGGGGAGTCCTACAAAGAAGGGGGAGAAAGGATTGGAGGAACCAGAGGGAGTCAGAGAGAACATGACCCACAGAATCCATTCACTGGAACTCATGGGAGCTTGCAGAGATCAGGGAACATGTAGGGGTCTGACCCAAGTAGTCCTCTGCATATATGTTGTGACTGAGTAGCTTGGTGTTCTTTTGGAATTCCAAACAGAGGGAGTGGAGAGGTGGTATCTGGCTCTTATGCCTGTTTATGGGACCCTTTTCCATCTATTGGGTTGCCTTATCCAGCCTTGACGTGATGGGATGTGCCTCATCTTACTGTAGCATCTAGTTAATGTCCCTGAGAGACCTGCTCTTTTCTTAAGGAAGATGGAGGGGGCATGGGTCTGGGGGAAAGGGGATCTGGGGGGAGACTGGGGGAAGGGGATGGAGGTAGGGGAAACTGTGGCTGGAATGTAATATATGAGAGAATAATAATACATTTAAAAATGGGCTTTTGTTTCATTGGTATGCTGATTAGCTGTTTGTTTTTGCCAAGTGAACACAAACTATACTCAGAAATCCTCAGTTGAAAAAATGTCTCCATTAAATTAGTCTGTAGACAAGTCTTTGGAGACATTTTCTTTTTTTTTTTTTTCTGTCTTACAAACTTTATTAGTGCTGGGGAAAGGAGGACAGGCAGCTCCGGTCTCTCCCTACATTACTGCTTGCCGTTGCCATTGATGGGAGGGTTCAAATGGTCAGGGGAGGACAGGAAGGCCTTGATCTTGGGCCGGGCACTGAGGCATGCCACATAGGCACTGAGTAGGGGGAAGTTGTCCAGGCAGCCAGGGGCCAGGACCTGGTGGATCAGCAGCAGATCTAGCAAGTTGTAATCGGCGAAGGAGATCTGGTCACCCACGATGAAGGCTTTGCCTCCTTGGTTCTGGGACAGCAGGGTCTCGAAAGGTTTCAGGTGTCCAGGCAGGGCCTTCACATAGTCATCCTTCCCTTCCTCATATTTGGTGTAGATGAGGGTGATGTATTTCAGGCGAAGGTCTTCCACCCCATCATTCACCATATCCACCAGGGCAGCCTCCTTCTGATGTTACCGTCTACGCAGCTCGGAATTCGTGCCTCCGTCTATGCAGCAGCCATGCCGCTGTACACCATTGTCTACTTCCCAGTTCGAGGGCGCTGTGAGGCCATGCACATACTACTGGCTGACCAGGACCAGAGCTGGAAGGAGGAGGTGGTGTCCATAGATACTTGGATGAAAGGCTTGCTCAAGTCCATCTGTCTGTATGGGCAGCTCCCCTAGTTTCAGGATGGAGACCTTACCCTGTACCAATCTAATGCCATCTTGAGGCACTTGGGCCGATCCCTTGGGCTTTATGGAAAAGATCAGAAGGAGGCTGCCCTGGTGGATATGGAGACATTTTCTTGAGTAAAGATTGAAGTTGGAGGGAGGTCGCAGCCCCCTGTGGGTGGTGCCAGGCATGTGGTCCTGAGTTGTATAAGAAAACAGGCTGATCAAGCCATGGAAAGCAAGCCAGTAAACAACACCCCTCCATGACCTCTGCTTCTGTTCCTGCCTCCAGGTTCCTGCCTCAACTTCCTGCTCTGACTTCTCTTCATGAACTGTAAGCTGAAATAAACCCTTTCCTCTCCAACTTCCTTTTAGCCATGTTGTTTTATCACAGCAATAGAAAGCCAAGTAAAACAACTGATGTTTAATTTTTTTTGTGTGTATTCTGAACACTAATCCTCAGATGTAGAGTTGGCAAAGATTTTTTTCCTCACTCTGTAGACTCTTCTTTAGAATGACAGCTTTTTATGCTGTATAGAAGCTTTTCAGTTCCACGAGACCCCATTTGTCAATCATTGGTCTTATTTCCAAAACTACTGGAGGAGACCTGTTCAGAAAGTCATTACCTATATTTATGTTTTGAAGAGTACTTCTTACTTTTTCTTTTATGTGTTTCAGGGGTGTATTTGGTTTCATATGGAGGTTCTTTTTCGTTTGTTTGTTTGTTTTGGCTTTCCAAGACAGGGTTTCTTTCTCTGTGTAGCAGTCCTGGCTGCCCTGGAACTTGGTCTGTTGGCCAAGCTGGTCTTGAACTGACAGAGATATGCCTGCCTCTGTCTCCGTAGAGTGCTGGGATTAAAGGTATGTGCTACTACCACCTGACCATATTCAAGTTCTTGATCCATTTGAAGTTGAATTTTTCTTTGAGAGTTAGAGATCTATTTTTGTTCTTTTACTTTTTGGTACTCTGGCTTCCAACTATCATTTAATGAAGTTAATTTCTCCAATGCATTTTTGACATCTTTATAAAAAATATGGTTGTTGTATTTGTGTGACCTTCTACTTGGGTTCCTTATTCTATTCCATTTATATATTGATATAGGAAGTCCTTCTGTATTTGTGTTGCTTTCATTGGTTGAGTAAAGAAACTGCCTTGTCCTTTTGATAGGGCAGAACTTAGATAGGCGTGGAAAAGAGAACTGGATGCTGGGAAGAAGGGCAGTGTGGCAGATGCCATGGTTCTCCTGCCCGAGACAGATGCTGGTTAGACTCATGCTGGTAAGCCACAGTGAAGTGGTGATACACATTAATGGAGATGGGTTAAACCGATATGTAAGAGTTAGCCAAGAAGAAGCTAGATATAATGGGCCAGGCAGTAATTTAATTAATACAATTTCTGTGTGGTTATTTTGGGGGCGAAGCTAACTGGGTGGGATGAAACAAAGGGGTCTTGTACTCCATACTACAATCTATGGTCTGTTTTGTGCTAGTATCATGCTAGTCTTATTATCACAATTTTTATTCTAAATGTTCGTGGAGCAGCTGCCAGCCTGGCAGAGATGGTTGTGGGTCCCTGCAAGATCCCCTGGTGGTTTAAGAGCAGTGGCCCATCCCGGGCAGGCGGGTGGCCCCTTCTTGTGGCGAGCGGGCAGGGCCAGCCCTCGGCGGTCTGGGAGAGCCAAGGGGGCGAGTGTAAACCGGTGGTGGGTAAAAGACACATAGACACATAAAATAGGCATAAAGCAGACATTTATTAAGGGAGAGAGAGAGAGAGAGAGAGAGAGAGAGAGAGAGAGACAGAGAGAGAGAGAGACAGAGACAGAGACAGAGACAGAGACAGACACGAGTGAACAGGTGAGAGAGGAACAGTAAGTGGGGAGCCAAGATGGGTACAGAAGGTCAGAGGTAGCGGGAGTGGGCGTGGCTTGTCTCTTAAAGAGACAGGAAACCATAACAACAATTCTGTAGTATAACTTGAAACCAGGTGTGGTGGTACATCCTATATTATTTTTTCTTTTGAGCATTGCTGGGCTATCTTTGGTCTTATTTTATTTCACATAAAATTTAACATTGTTTTTCTGTGTCTGTGAAGAATGGACCTAGAGCTTTTGTTGGTATTGTACTGAATTTGTGGATTGCTTTTGGTAGAATGGTCATTTTTATATTTTTTTCCCAGTCCGTGAATGTAAAAGGTTTCGGAACAAATGTAATAATTTAAAAAGGAAAACCTTCTAAAGAATCAAGACAGAAAGAACACATTGTAAACAGAGCCTTCTTGCATTCATAAACTTTGCATGATGTTCAGTAAACAGATCTTCAATATTTCCCACACTTTGATTTCAACAAAACATTTCCTAATCTAGCTCCCAAAAATGAAAAATATGGGAGCCAGAGATGATCATAATACATTGTATACATGTATTGCATTCTCAAAGAATAAGGATTTAAAAAGCTGTTACCAATTGGCAAGCTATAGGCCTGAGAATCCCAGTGTCCACATACACATACTTATCAGCTTGTCAATTATAAAGCAGGTGGGAACTCCGGTGGGATGACGCTCTCATAACAAAGCAACAGGTTTCATACCCGGGAAGGTCTTAACTATGGTTCATTTACTTGAAAGGCCTTAGGATCTCCGCAAAGGACAGCTAAGTCCCACAACCACCCCCATTCCCATTGTGGAGATATAACTTTGGGTAGGGCAGCTTTTTTTTTTTTTTTTGTTAGCTTCGGGGTGGGTTTTGTGCCTGAAAGAGCAAACAATAGCATCTAATTTACAATTTTCTTTGTAATTCTAATTTGTCTGTTATAGTCAAGTTCCTATGAACTTTATATTGTTATTTTGAAAGGTTACAGGTTTGCCTTCTGGAGAGTGATACTGGGGGTTGAACCCATCATGTACATTCTAGGTTAAGCTATATCCATAACCTTTGTTGACTTTTTTATTTTGAAATATGGTCTTCTTAAGTTGGCCAGGCTGACCTTGATCTTTACTTCAGAAAGATCTTAATTTTTGATCTTCTAGCTTCAGCCTTCTGAGTAGCTGAGATTTCAGGCCTGTAGCACCAGGGCTGCCCAATTTTGCATATTTTTTTTCTTTCAAGACCCACATATATTTCTATTAATGTAAAAGCACAGTTCTAACCTTTTTATACTCTACTTTATTAATTGTCATGATCTTCGAATAAAGAAACTTACAATATGATGTGTCGATATGCAATGTGTCAGAACTGTGTTACTATCATGTTCCAGTTGTATGTGTGTATACTTTCTTTCCCTTTTCCTTTTTTGTGGGTATATGTGTGCATGTGTATGCATGTGTGTATGTTTTTGTTTGACCATATGTATGTGCATGTGTGGGAGGCCAGAGGACACTTTCAGGTGTCATTTCTTAGGAACCTTCCATTTCTTCTTTCAAAAAATATTTTTAAATTATATGCATATGTGTGTGTCTCTATGTGGATTTTTGTACCTGAATGTGGTACCCTCTGAGGTCAGAAGAGGGCATCAGATTCCCTGGAGATGGAGTTACAGGAAGTTGGGAGATAACTCATCTGTAATGGGATGTGAATGCCAATCCTCTGCAAGAACCGTAAGTGATGTTAACTACTGAGCCCTTCTGATTCTGTTTTAAAATTTATTTCTAAGTGACAAAATTATACAAATTGATGGGGGTATAATGCGATGCATAGGCATATTGCCAAATGAGAGTGAACAGCATATTTATTATCTCCAAAAGTCACTTCTTTGTAATGAAGCATTTAAAGCCTTCTTGTAGCAATTTTGAAATGTGCACTAGATCATTGGTAATTAGGGTCATCCCACCATGCAGTATGATACAAGGACTTCTTCTTCTCTTCTAGTTGCACATGAGCCTCAGCCTCTCTTGCCCCTCCTTCAGCCTCTTCTCCCAGCTCCTGGTAAGCATTACTCTACTTTCTGCTTTTAGGAGATCTAGTTTTTTTTTTTTAAGATTCTATTATGACTGCAATCATGTAACATTTGTTTTTCTGTCTAGATTATATCATTGATCATAATGCATTCCAAGTTTAAATATGTTCTCACAAATGGCAGGGTTACGTCCTCTTTATGGCTGGATATTATTGCATTGGGTATATATGAACATTTGCTTTATCCACACATCAGTGTATGGAGACTTGATGATAGCATGAAGTGGAGTTGACTCTCTGAGTTGAATCTTTTTGGTGACCTTTGATCATCCTGTACCTAATATTTGTGTCTTTTTCTAGGTTTGGGAAGTTCTGTGGTATTATCTCTTAAAATAAGCTTTCCAGAACTTTGTTCTTAAGCCTCTCCTGAAACCTGCAGAGCCGAGTATTTGCTCATTCAGCTCTGCAGTTCCTGGGAGTGGTCTTTATTTGTTCTCATTTTCTTTTCTTGTCTGTCTCCGCCTGATGCTGGGCCTTGCCATGGGAAGGTGGTCTATTTCTTTCTCCTTTCCTCGAGTGGGCAGGAACTCTTCATGCTGTGCTGCCTTGGCTTGGGAAAAGGATGAACTGGGAAGGCCTCATGGCTACCATAATCACAGTGATCCTGCATCATAACTTGATTCCACAATGATATACACAGTCCAGCAAGAGACAGGCTGTCTTAGTTAGGGTTTTTATTGCTGTGAAGAGACTATGACCAAGACAATGCTTCTAAAGAAAGCATTTAGTTGGGGTGGCTCACTTACAGCTTCAGATATTCAGTCCGTTATCATTATGATGGGGAGCATGGTGACATGCTGGAGGGCATGGTCCTGGAGGAATAGCTGAGAGTCCTACATCCTGCAGGCAACAGGAAGTAGGCTGACTGTGACACTGAGGGAAGCTTAAGCAAAAGACAACAAGGTTGTACCCACTCCAACAAAGTCACATCTAATAGTGCCACTCCCTATGACATTGGGGGAGGGGGGCAGCAATTGCATTCAAACTGCCACATAAGCTAAGGCCCACACTTCTACAATCCTTCAGCCACTGGGGTTTATTTACAGCATGAACTTCATGGCCAGTGGCTAGCTGACAATGAAGGGATTCATGATATAACTCTGCCTGGTGAAGGCTGGAGTCCTTGCTTGAGGTGAAGACTGGTCCAGGGCTTCATCCTCAGGCACAGGCCTTGGGGTCAGGGGTTGCTGTGCTTTGACTGATGCCTTTTTTTTTTTAATTTAAAAAATATTTTTCATCTATTATACATATGGACCATAGTTTCTGGTATCTCCTCTCCTTCCCTCTCTCCTCTCCTCCCCACTTCCCATGTACCCCCCTTCCACTTCTCCTCTGCCTCTGTTAAGAAAGGGGCAGGATTCCCGTGGGCTTGATCAAAGCCTGGCACATCAAGCTGAGGCAGGACCGAGCTCCTCCCCTTGCATCAAGGCTGGGCAAAGCAACCCGGCATGAGAAACAGGTTCCTAAAAGCCAGCTAAGCACCAGGGACAGGTCCTGATCCCACTACTAGGAGCCTTACAAAGACACCAAGCTACACAACTGTCACCCACATGCAGAGACCTAGGTCGATCCCACGCAGGCTTCCTAGCTGCTGGTCCAGCGTCCATGAACTCCCAGGAGCCCAGGGCATCTGTCTCTGTGGGTTACCTCTCATGAACTCTACTAGCTGGCACAATCCCTCCCCCTTTCTTCAGCAAGCTCCTGGAGCTCCGCCCAGGATCTTTGCATCTGCTTTTGGCTGCTGTATTTTATTTATTTATTTTGGCTGCTGTTTTTATATCACTGTTGTGGGCCTGGTGCTGAGTACCAGGAAAGATTCCTGTGTTTACTTCCTTTTATTTCCCCCCTGGTGTCTTTCTTCACACAGTGCTGCCCACGGTTGAGGGAAGGATAGTGGAGGCAGCCTAAGGCGCTAGCCTGGGTCTTACCTGAAGCTCATTGTAACACCATCTGTAACTCCAGTTTCGTGGATACAGCGCCATCTTTTGGCCTCAGACGGTACTGCAGGCATGTGATACCTATACTTTTATGCAGAAAAATTCATATACATAAGGATAAATCATTCAAAAATGTTTCTTTCTTGAAAATCTTTGATCTAGAATACCTCTCCTACCTCTAGACATAAAGATTCCTAAACGTGGAATGTGAAAGTGGAAGTAGGAAAGGATTAAAATGAAAGGTTTGCCATGCTAAGCATAGCTGGCATCAGACCTTGCTGGTCTCTTGTATCCTTGCTGTAACTTTTGAAAAAGAACACTGGGTCATTTCTGCCTGGACAGGCCATCTTCTACAATAACTATGAGTTAGAACAACGGAGTATCCATTCCACTTGTCATTTTAAGTGTTTTTTCTTTCTTTATTATATATTTTATTTGAAAAAATGCACACAACATATTCTGATCATGTTTTTCCCTCCCCCAATTCCTCCCAGACCCTCTCTACCTGTCTACCCACTCAACTCTACACCCTTCCTTCCTTCCTTCCTTTAAATAGACAAAGAAAAAAACAAACAAGAATTTAAAAAAAAACAAAGAAAATCACAATAAACATACACACACAAACCAACTCTATAAAAACACATCACTAGAACCATAATATATAAGCAAAAGGCCAGTAAGAAAAAAAGTGCCCAAACAAAGCAATATGAGACAAAAGTCTACAATCATAGCCTCTGGTTCATTTGTGTTGAAGCTGCACACGCAGCCACGGTATCCATGAGCTCATGTGTGCAACAGTTGTGTTGTGTCTAGAAGACAGTTTCCTTGGAGTCCTCCAACACCTCTGGCTTTTACACTCATTTGCCTCCTTTTTTTGTAGCTTTCTGAGCCCTTAATGGAGAGGTCAGTCTGTTAGGTGCTCTGTATGCTTCTTGAATTTTGCTTGGTAACTCCTTTAGGTTGGGAAATTTTTCTTCTATGGTGTTAAAAATATTCTCTGTTCCTTTGACCTGAGTTTCTTCTTTCTATATCCCTATTATTTATAGATTTTTGTCTTTTCATAATAGCCCATAATTTTTTATATTTTGTGTCTGGAGTTTTTTTAAATTTTTATTTGACTAAGGTATTCATTTTTTCTACCTTGCTTCAACACCCGAATTTCTCTCTTCTGCGTCTCACACTTTGTTGATGAAGCTTACTTAGAAGGCTTGTATTTGACTTCTTAAATATTTCGATTTGAGTTTTATCTCAACTTGGGTTTTCTTTAGTGATTCTTTTTCTACTTTCATGTCTTGAATAGTTTTTACTATTTTATTACACCGTTTGTGTTTTCACAGACTTCATTAAGGGATTTATTCACATTCTCTTTAAGGTCCTTGGACATATTTATCACTGCTAATTTGATAATCGTTTTTTAAGCTTCAGCTACACTGCATTTGTCAAGGCCTACTGTAGTCAGGTTAACTGGGTTCTAGTAGACACATATTGTCTTGGGTGGTCATATTTGTGTTTTGTGCTTCTGTCTATCTAGAGTTATCATTATTGCGGTGATTCTAGGTTTTCATACCTTGTCTTACTTTTGATATGTGGGTGTTTCATTTCTTGATTTTGTTGCCCTGTCAACACCAAGAGGCAGAGTTCCCAGGGAGTGGAGATGTGTTGGGAGGAGGAATTCTTGCAAGTAGTCTGCAGTAGGACAAAGACTATCTGGAGAGATGGAAATAAAAGGGTGGGGGTCTGTACCAAGAGGTGGAGTCTCTGGTTCATGCAGTTGAAGTTGGAGGAGGAGTAAGAACAAGTGCAGGGCTACTTGGCTGCCAGGGAGTCTGGAGAGATAATACTGGAGGACGGAAAGGGTGGTGAGAATCACCTAACAGAGTCCCAGACCCATGTGGCCACTGGGCTTCGCCAGTAGGAAGAAGTGTTTCTAGGTATCAGTGAAAGACACAAAGAAAAGGCTTACATATGTGGTTTTTAAAGAATTAAAAATATTTTGTGTTTATTTATTTATTTGTGTGTGTGTGTTTGTGTATGTGCATGTGGGGGCCATGTTGGGTTCTCTCTTCCCAGCACATGGGTTCAGAGGATGAAACTCAGGTCATCAGATAGGAAGCACCTTATCCACTGAGTTATCTCATCAGCTCCTCCTTGCTACATTTTAAAGGAATACATAATTAAACATTTTTTTATTTATTATGTATACAGTGTTCTGTCTGTCTGTATGCTTGCTGGCCATAAGAGGGCACCATGCCTCATTACAGATGGTTGTGAGCCACTATGTGGTTGCTGAGAATTGAACTCAGGACCTCTGGAAGAGCAGTCAGTGCTCTTAACCTCTGAGCCATCTCTCCAGCCCAGGAATAAATAATTATATTGTGTATGTTGAAGAAACAAAATATGTTATAATATTTTACATACATATGTAAGTATATATACAGATTATCCATCATCTCATTATTTTCCTCATGCCTTGTCACAGTTTCTAATGTGCATGTCATTTATTTAGAATGAAAGGTTATTACCCAAAAAAGATGAAAAGCAATAGTTCCAGAAGCAGGACTCGTGCATTGGAAAGGATTCCACATCCAGTTTGCTGCAGATAAACCCTTATTTACTGAGAGTGATTTGGGCCTTTTAAGATATGGATATAAAACAGGAAGAGGAACAAAAATATAACCCCAAAGGCTATTTAAACTACATCGTGGTGAAGCAAGGTCTTAAGTTCTTTAAGAAAGGATCTGTTTGAACTGTTTTTCCTTGTCCTGCCAGTCCCTTCAAAGGAATATTTGGTGTGATCTTTAGTGACTTTTTTCTCACCAAAGAAGGGTGTCAGGACACTGCAAGGCAGTGACTGGAATTGATTGGCACACCCACCTGTCTCCCAGATCTCTACGAACTTCCTGAGCAGGTCTGTGAAAAAGGAACAATGAATGACTCAAAATCGTCTTGAAAAGAATAAAGCTCCTGAGAATGGTGAGCTGTGGAGTGGGCTGTTTGCACTCAGGCTCACACTTTTCACTCAGGACACTGTTTTCACAAGAGAACTCTGGGGGAAGAAAATGTCCTCCATGAAGGAACCAGCAGCATTGGCTATTTCTGTTCCCATTCAGTTCAGTGACATCAAAAACCCCATTGAAACTGTGTCACAGTTTAAAGTGCCCACATCTATGAAACCCGTGCTACAAGGAGTCATTAACTCTATTCTACCCACACATCCCCACTACGATCTGTTATGTCTATGGACCTTAGAAATTCTCCTTTGCTGGGTGGTGGTTGTGCACACCTTTAATCCTAGCACTCGGGAGGCAGAGGCAGGTGGATCTCTTTGAGTTCGAGGCCAGTGTGGTCTACAGCGCTAGTTCCAGGACAGTCAGGGCTACACAGAGAAACCCTGTCTCAGGAAAAACAAAATAAAACAAAAAAGAAAGAAAGAAGGAAGGAAAGAAAGAAAGAAATCCTCCCTTCCTCTCTTCTTCAGTAGCAATCCACACAGCATTACACTGTAATGTTCTATTGCCAATAATGGGGCCATCACTAACCTGTTACACAGGCTGAGGTGCTCCTAAACTAGTTGGTTACATTTGAACATTTCTCCATTTCAGAAAATCAAAACAAACATTAAATGCTCAATCATCTCTAGCACTAATCAGTAAATAGAAATCATGCAAGGAAGGCCTGCTGCATTTTTTCCCCTCAGTGAGACTGTATCAGTTTGGGGGCCCTCAGATGCCGATTAAAAATAAGGATTCATTTTCTGGTTTCCGTATTGGAAAGGAAGAAGTTAAGCTTTCATTATTTGCAGATGATATGATAGTGTACATAAGCGACCCCAAAAACTCTACCAAAGAACTCCTACAGCTTATAAACACCTTTAGTAATGTGGCAGGATACAAGATCAACTCCAAAAAATCAGTGGCCTTCCTATACACTAAGGATAAGGAAACAGAGAGGGAAATCAGAGAAGCATCACCTTTCATGATAGCCAAAAATAACATAAAATATCTTGGGGTAACTCTGACCAAGGAAGTGAAAGATCTATATGACAAGAACTTTAAGTCTTTGAAGAAAGAAATTGAAGAGGACAACAGAAAATGGAAGGATCTCCCCTGCTCTTGGATTGGGAGGATCAACATAGTAAAAATGGCAATTCTACCAAAAGCAATCTATAGATTCAATGCAATCCCCATCAAGCTCCCATCAAAATTCTTCACAGATCTGGAGAAGACAACAATCAACTTTATATGGAAAAACAAAAAACCCAGGATAGCCAAAACAATCTTATACAATAAAGGATTGTCTGGAGGCATTACTATCCCTGACTCCAAACTTTATTACAGAACTACAGTATTAAAAACAGCTTGGTATTGGCATAAAAACAGAGAAGTCGACCAATGGAATTGAATAGAAGATCCTGACATTAACCCACAAACCTATGAACACCTGATTTTCGATAAAGGAGCTAAAAGTATACAATGGAAAAAAGAGAGCATCTTCAACAAATTGTGCTGGCGAAACTGGATGTCAACCTGTAGAAGAATGAAAATAGATCCATATCTATCGCCATGCACAAAACTCAAGTCCAAATGGATTAAAGACCTCAATATCAGTCTGAACACACTGAACCTGATAGAAGAGAAAGTGGGAAGTACTCTACAACACATGGGCACAGGAGACCACTTCCTACGTACAACCCCAGCAGCACAGACATTAAGGGCCTCATTGAATAAGTGGGACCTCCTGAGACTGAGAAGCTTCTGTAAAGCAAAGGACACTGTCACTAAGACACAAAGGCAACCCGCTGACTGGGAGAAGATCTTCACCAACCCTGCAACTGACAAAGGTCTGATCTCCAAAATATATAAAGAACTCAAGAAACTAAACCGTAAAAGGCTCATCAACCCAATTATAAAATGGGGCACTGAGCTGAACAGAGAATTCTCAACAGAAGAAGTTCAAATGGCCAAAAGACACTTAAGGTCATGCTCAACTTCCTTAGTGATCAGGGAAATGCAAATCAAGACAACTTTAAGATACCATCTTACACC